TTCGAAAAGGGTGAGCTGTTTCATCATGAACAGTGAACAGTTATATCAAGATACATGAACTGGAATCAATGTTATAGGTTGATTTATTGTACGAGTATTTCATCTGAAGAAGCAACTGTAATAGATCTATGGTAATAGTGGAACATGTGTTGATCAATTGAGAATTTAGTGGAAATCTTATCCTTTGTGGAATGTGTACATTCACTATGGATTTCCATCCAGTGAGTAAGCTAGTCGTTTTACCCACCGTGTATGTGATAACTTCCATTGTTTATAGAAATATTTTGAAACTCATATTATCTTTATGGAGAACGCAATGTTATTTATATTTCGCAGTAAACGAATGTTCTTATCGGAAAATATATAACATAATTATCCTTGATAAGAATAAATGATGATATATATAATATAATAAATAATCATTATTGAGCCATTTGTATCAATTATTGATGATGACCTAAGATCACTGAATACAATAGGCAAAAAACACGATACACTGCCTCGGTAAATAGTTCATTACGCACAGAAAGCAAAAAGCACAGTTTGGATATGCTATTTTATATCATAGTTATGAAACCTTCCTATATATTCATATATTCATAATTATATACAATATACTAGCTGACCCGGCAAACGTTGTTACCTATGCCATAACATTATTTCTAGAAAAAAATTTTTTACATGAATAATTATCAAAGAACTTTCATTATTTTATTTAGTTTGGCTATTTATAAAAACGTGTTTCATTAGTTTTTCAAACTACTATTTATTACAATAGCTGATGCTGATACCTGGCACACCTTGTTTTGCTATATACATTTTCTTACAGAAAATACTTTTTCAGTTGAATATTCATCAACACACTTTTATTATTTTGTTTTGAACTTCTTTTTAGTTTGGATATCCATGAAATCGTGTTTCATTACTATTTCAAACTACTTCTTTTATTTTCTACTTCTTTTTAGTTCGACAAATCTATCTCGTTTTTCAAACTATTATATCAATTTTCTACTTCTATTCAGTTTGGCCTCGAGTTTGGCTATCTATGAAAGCCTGTTTCATTATAGTTTTTCAAACTACTATTCAAATCGAAGCTCTTTCATACCATATTGGATTCGCCATCTTATATTCTTCAATTTTGAAGAATATAATCATAATCTCCGACCCCGAAAACCCTCAGATACAAATTTTGAATAGAATCGGATCATAATTACAAAACTCGTCCGCCATATTGGATCCGCCATCTTGAATTCCCAAAATTTGACAAAAGAATCATCATCTCCGACCCCGAAAACCACACGATACCAATTTTGAATAGAATCTGACCAAAATTACAGAACTCTTCCGCAATATATTGGATCCGCCATTTTGAATTTCCCCATTTTGACAAATGATTCATATCTCCGTCCTCTAAAACCTCCAGATATCAATTTCGAATGAAATCCTACCATAATCACAAAACTCGTCCGCCATATTGGATCCGTCATTTTGAATTTCCAAATTTTGACGAACGAACCTCAATCTGCGACTCCGATAACCCTCAGATACCAATTTTGAATATAATTGGATCATAATTACAAAACTCGTCCGCCATATTGGATCCGTCATTTTGAATTTCCAAATTTTGATAAAAAATCATAATCTTTGACCTCGAAAACCCCCAGATACCAATTTTGAATGGAATCTGACCATAATTACAAAACTCGTCCGATATATTGGATCCGTCATTTTGAATTGTCAAATTTTGATGAAGAAATCATAATCTTCGACCTCGGAAATCCCCAGATACCAATTTTGAATGGAATCTGACCATAATTACAAAACTCGTCCGCCATATTGGATTCGTTGTCTTGAATTTCCAAAATTTGACGAAAGAATCATAATCTCCGATCCCGAAAATCCCCAAATGCCAATTTTTAATGAAATCAGATAACAATATTCGTCCGCCATATTGGATCCGCCATCTTGAAGTTTCGATTTGAAAAATAGATTACGACCGATTCTCATACCTACCGAATACGCACAAAAAATTCCATACGAATCGGCCGAGCCGTTTCGGAGGTAGAGTTCGACCACTAACACCATGACCGGGACAGGAGAATTTTATATATTAAATATATGTATTAAATATAGGATATATAAAAAGTTGGCAACAAATGGAAAACCTTTTGATAATTAATTGTGGGATAAAAGTTATTATTCATAAGAAGTTCTGCATGGCTTGAAATCGAAAATGCAAATATAAACATATCATATTTATTTTTTTCAATTGTATACGGAGAATGTCAAAAATATCAATTTTGTTCTACAATAAAAGAGTTGACTAAAATTAAAAACTACGTTCGAATTAATGCCATATATACAGGGTGTATCTAAGCAACATCGAAAAAATTCAAGGGGTGTTTCCTTGTGACATTCTGGCAAATGAAGTTCATAAAAATATGTGTCCTAAAATCCGTTTTTGAGATACAGGATGTTGAAGTTGAAAGTATTAATTGTTTTTATTAATAACATCCCTGTATAAGCTTCCATGGTGCCAAATTTCAGTATGGATGGACACTGGGAGGAAGAACCAAAATTTGGAAATGATTATGATTGGGGTTATTGAGTAATCTCAATGGAAGTCTTGAAAACACGTACAGTGTGTCCAGTTTTCGATGCTTTTGCGTGATATCTCAGTTATCTCTCGAGATAGAACCTTGCGGTTTTCGCGGTCCTGTGCCATTTCTTTGTGAAACTCAAGATGACCTAATCAGATTTTGCATAACTGTTTGCGTTTATGAGATACAGGGCGATTTTGAAAATTTATACTTTTTGGACCCCCTCTATATCTATGAAGTTTCTCAGCGAAAATGTCAAATTGAAATCTTAACCCATAGAAAATTTCATGCAGAATCCAGTGGCGCACAAAAATTTTTTTTTTTTCGGGTATGGTTTTGAAGATACGACTCAAACTTATGATTTTTCAAATTGAACACCCTGTATTTTATAAGCTCAATTAAATTCCTTATTTTTTTCCCTTCGGAATGATGTATGATGTATGAATATAACATTTTCAACAATGTTCAAAAATCACTAAAACATTGAATTTTAATAGTGGGCTATGGGTTTCTCGAGGGCTTTTCATATAGAGAAATTTACAATTGAAGGAATATTTTCTTTCATTGTTCCATGGAGGGAGGAAAACAATTTCAACACTAATTAACTTGCAAAACACAAGACTTAGATAAATGATATCCACAAATATATAGTGATAGAAAGCTTGTAATGTAGAATAAGCACGTACCTGATTGAATATTTACTGAAACAATTGAATTTCGAAATTATTCAGTGATTTATTCATTGAATTGTTCAAATTGAAGTCCATTTCCCATCACAAACTTTCTCAATACATATTAATCATTGAATGATGTCTTTGTTATTCCTGGAAAACGGCCTCTGTTGTTGCACAAAGTTCTTCAAGTATGTTGGGCCACTCACTGTATTGAGAAGTATTGAGAAAGTTTGTCAACTGTATGTTAGGGAAAATGGACATCAATTTGAACATGTCAATGAATAAGTTACTAAATAATTCCGGAATTCATTTGTTTTAGTAAATATTTAATCAGATGCTTTTTCTACATTATGAACTTTTCATTACTGTTTATTTGTTACTATCAGGTACCCAAGTTTAATGTTTTGTTAATTAATGAGTGTTGATATTGGTTTTGACCTCTCTATGGAAAAATTTGAAGAAATATTGCTTCAATTGGAACGTTTTTTATAAGAAAAATCCATAACCAACTATCAAAATTCAATATTTTAGTGATTTTGAGCAATTTTGAAAATTTTATATCCATTCGTTATATATCATTTTGAAGACAAAAAAATGAGGAATTCAATGAGCTTATGAAATACAGGGTGTTCCATTTGAAAAATCATAAGTTTGAGTCGTATCTCCAAAACCATACCCCGAAAAAAAATGTAAGTGCGCCACTGGATTATGCGTGAAATTCTCTAGGCGATAAGATTTTGATTTGACATTTTTGTTGAGAAACTTCATAGATATAAAAGGGGTCCAAAAAGTATAAATTTCCAAAATCGCCCTGTATCTCATAAACGGTAACAGTCTTGCAAAATCTCATCAAGCCATCTTGAGTTTCACAAAAAAGTGGTGCAGGACCGTGGAAACCGCAAGGTTCTATCTCGAAAGATGTCGAACAGCACTTTATCAAGACTCCTTCATCCATAGAACGGCTAGGCTCTGGAATTCATTGCCTGTGGAAGTATTCCCAACAACATAATATAATCTCCAAAAATTCAAAAAAATTTCCAATACCTACCTCCTGTCCCTTTCCTTCCTAGGAACGCACGATGTTCTTTGAACATTATAGGGATTCCCTTTCGTGCGCTTCAATCGATAAAAAAAAAAAAAGAAAACTGGACACACTGTACATTAAAATTTGGAGTCAAATCGAATTTTTATTGTTTCTTCAAAAACTTAACTATAAATACGAAAATCACACAAAGGATAAAAAAGTTGTTATTCCAATAGTTCAATCTAATAAAAATATGAAACTCATAAAAACCGGTGGTGTACAATGACATTCTCCATGAATATCGATAAATTTACCCACTGTGACGCCACTAGAAATATTATTTCGAATCTAGTTAGCTAGCTAGAAGAAGATTTGAACAAGCTGCTTCCATGTATCTGGTTGATTCAACAAAAAATTGATGAGTCCAACAAAAATAATTCAAGCATTAATAATTGGTTGATGCAACCAATCCTTTTTTTCCGTGCAGTGATCAGAACTTCGACTCCAGAACTCCATAGCGTTTGGTTTCGGCGAGATTCAAAGCACCGGAAAAACCTATAACAAGGACTTCTGGCAATATTGCCATGCAGGCATTCAATGATGAAAGTATGACATTCAATCACAGTTGAGAGAATATATATATGTAATATTCTCTCAACTGTGATTCAATGTTATTTAGGGATCCAATGAATAATAATAACGTTCGATTGCTAAATCATATTTATTTCTGAAACCCATTATTGAAAATATGTACAGGGTGAAAATGGAATCTTGACTATCATCAATGAAAGTGATTCATTTTTTGGCATAAGCGACTATTAGATTATAATTTATTCCAATGAAGCTGCATCCAAATTCGTCATTTCCTTCGAAATATCCTCCAGTTCTCAATGCGTACTTCACATAGTCACGTTTGTAATCTTCAAGTTCTTCTTTTGGTATTCTGTTCAAAACAGGACTCACGGAGTATAATCCATCTGTGAAATTGAAGTTGAAGTGTGTAAGCTGAGTAGGGTTAAAAATAAGCCTTCAAAACCGAAATGAACCAGACCAGAACGTTCTGACGTATAAGTGTAATACATGTTATTCACATTTTACCAAAGATATCATAATAATTATAAAATACACAGTGAATATCATTATATCTGATTGTGGAATACTGTTCTATATTTGAACAAGTTTTTGTAGGTTTTATTAATCTTGTATCAATTAGGTATTCTTGATATTTGATTAATATAATTCAATATTGTATATTCAGGGGTCGCCAATATAAGAATTTTTTTCTTCATAACAACTTCTTGTCTTGTTGTTGTGTAGAGAAAATCTCAAGAAATTTCGAAAAATCTCGTCTTGAGGTTTTTCTTGACATATATCATCAGTATTGATATACCTTGTCAGAAATTCAGTAGATTTCAGAAGATTTATTTTGTGATGAACAAATTTCACTTTCACTTTTCATAAAATTACTTTTTTCCTGCGACAAAAGTTAGTACTTTTTCATCAACATATCAAGTGCTTAGACGCATTCGAATTCATAATCAGTGGCGCCAGAAAATTCATTTACAGAGCGTGCCCAAATATCACCCAAGATCTCGCCCAAGATATTATGGGTCTATGTGATTAACTAAAGATCAATATTAATAGGTGATTATAATTACAAATAATAAGATGGGTATTTAATACTTTCTTGTCGTAGATTTGCCTCTTTTGCAATATATAACATTAACAGATGAACAACATTTCCTTGAAATAGTGTCACATTTTTTCAATAAAAACATTAGACACTCCACAAATCACCAGAAAAAGCCACTATAAAAAGTGGAAAAAAACAAGTTGTTAATTCATTATCCATCTATGCTTCAGAAAATCAGAAAATCTGTAAGTGGTTCACATAACCACTGACCTTCATATTAACCACCCGAATGACAGTTATTAAAATAACCACGCCCATAGTGAATTGGGCCGAATATCTCTTGTTTCATCATGATGAGTGATAAACGCACGTTTTAACGCTATACCATTCGCAGTCAAGAAGTTTCAAGATTTCTTGTTTTTTTTGGGAAAAAATCTTGGGAATGACATAACATCTCTTGTCGTGTCTCGAAATTTGAAATTAATTCGTCTTGAGCTTGTTTTGAGATCAAGACAAGAAATTATCAAGAATTTGGGACCTCTAGGTATATTAGCCAGGAAAGGAGTTGTTCTTAATGGATATATCACCACTGATCTTATTTCTGGGAAAATACTATTAAAACTTCATCTGCACTGAACGATTCAAGAACTAGCCGAAAATTAATATCAGATTTGAGAATTACAAAGCTCCAACGAAATGCTGTTCGTGATTTTTGAATAATGTTCTTGATGCTACCGTTAAAAGATGGTACACATGTTTGGAAAACAATATCAATATTTTTGAATACCTTTCATGAACCCAGTATAATATTTCTGTCATTATATTTTTGTCAATTTTACATATCCATATAAAATTATTGAATTTGTAGTTTCGTGTCTCAAACATTTTCTGATAAAGGTCAAAACTGACTCAAAGCGCAATCAAAACTTTATGTGTTGCACATCGTTGAATTCGGGATAAAAAGTGCTTCTCAAATTTGACATTATGAAATCAGGACCGTATTTGAAAAAAATGAAGTTGATGATGGTTACGCGAAGACGAAACGTTTGATTGCGAAATTGATGATGCCATATCGGAAAAAATATTAGCAAAAACTCGAAAAATCAGTTTTTTCAGAATGAGTCAAAAAAGAAGAGTCGCATCTAGGATTTCTTGATATCACATTGTTGGTCTTTTGATTGCACAACTTTTTTCCCAATCAACCAAAACCGTAACTCTTATATTTTCGAATATCCACATACTGGCCATCCTTATCTTGGACACAGTGTATATGTGACGAATCGGGACAGTATTCTGTAAGAACTATAAATGATAGCAATGTAATACAATATGGAAGCACACTATATGGGAATGAAAAGCATCAAAACGTAGGCGACCGTACAGTAATCCATCGGAATGGTATTGTGTCGGAATCGCACTAGTTAAGAATAGTATTTCGTAGGAACCAGTTCTCTCATAGCGACGGTAATTTGTCATAATTATAGCTCATCAAAATGAGGTCAGAATTGTTCTTCATAGGGAAGAGAAATTCAACAGGACCGTTATTCATAGCGACAATAAATCGATCATTATATAGGATAACATTTTGAAAACTTCTCACCATCACTTTCCAGTGAATAATATGAGCAATCAAATGAACAAGTCGATTTTATTTTCAAGAAGGACACTAGAAATTATTTGTTTCAGCTATTCAACCCCCTAGGAATGGTGGATGTTACCCTCAGTATATCAAACGTGAAGGGGGTCAAGTGGCACATCATTTTGAAGAGGGTTCAATTATCTTTCCAACGGTACCTATCGTATAGTTTATCATTTTCTGTTGGGCAGTTTCCGAAAAATTCCGTGTCACTTAGAAAATTTCCCACCCTTATTATCTTCCTTTCAGTAAATGATTTTAGAAATCGATCGAAGACAAGACGGTTTCATTTCCAAGGAAGACACTCAAAATGCATTTATTGAACCACTATTAGTTCAACCCTCTTGGAAGGGTAGATTTAACCCTTATGAAGAAGAGGGTCAAAATGCTCATTATTTTGAAGGACGTTGAAGTATCTTTCCAGCAATACCCTACTTTTTCATGAGCGGTTTCCGAATTTTAAACTTATACAGAAGTAATTAGAATATGCCTGCACTGAGATATAACGTCTAATTAGGTCGCAGCGCATTTGTCCAGGACCTACTCTATCTCACCGGGCCGGAGCATCGCTTTCGTGACGTCACACTAATAGGGACAAAATCAACGCAGTGGAAATTGTCTCTCCCGTTTCATTGATGTACCTCGGGAAAACGGTCACAGTTAGCAAAAAATATCAAGAAGTCAAATATGTTCAGAACAGAATTTTTCCAGAAGATGAATCAATTTTCACTGATTTACGATCATTAGGAAGTATTCCCAACAGCATATAATCTCCAAAAGTTCAAAAAAAAAAAATTCAATTCCTACCTTCTGTCCCTATCCTCCCTAGGAACGCACGATGTTCTTTGAACATTATAGGGATTCCCTTTCGTGCGCTCCAAGCGATGAAAAAAAAATATCGCATATCAAAATCAAATGACGCCATTCAGAATTGTCCTTTTTTAAACAGCTACCAAAATTCCATTATTCAATTCACAGAAATGATTCAATCATGAAAAGATTTCTCATAGTATCTGGATTGACTGAGTTTTTTCTCCAAATTCCCAAGGGCCAATAATAAACCGATATTCATCATTCAGGTGTTCATTACAGAATAGTTCAAAAAGTTCGGACGCCTCCCATGCTAATCCTATCAACTGTGGATATATGCTGTCACTCACTTTTTTGTAGGAAATTCAATTGCCTACAAATCGGTATAATACACATCCACTTTATCACGAAGGGTTTTAGCAGCGTTTATGTCTAAAAATGATCAGGACGCACTTTGATGACATTAGAAATCCTATCACTCGAATGTGTTATTACACAAAAACGCCTATTCGGTATTAATTATTTTCTGCTGAAGAGTATATAAATATTTCAAGAATAACGTTGAATTCATGAAAAAAAATTGATTTGGATATATTTTCAAACTATCAAAATTAAAAAGAACTAAATAGGTGAAGTTCATATAAACACAACCAAACAAAAATAATTAAAAAATAGGGATTTCAACAATGAGAGATATAATGATAAATATAACGAACTCAATAACAGAAAACCCAGAACCACGATATATGAATAAATAAGGAAAAAAAAAAACGTTGAATCCTCATACAAACAAAACCAAACAAAAAAAAACGATTGAAGTGATCAATATAACAAAATATTAAAAAAATTAATATATATCACAAAATGAAATGCACTAACAACAAAAAATATAATATATACATCTAAATCACAAACTAAGAATTGAAATCTAGACTATATATCTCATCCTGAAAGTTCAGTGATTTTAATTTTATTATTATTGGACTTGATTCCACTATTTTTGATTTTGTAATAATTGTTCAACATAATATTCGAAATAGTTTCAGAGAATATTCTGATGATTTCATCAAAAGAGCCACAACTGCAACATTGAATCTCGGAATAATTGAGAAGGAAATTGATTTTAATTTCTGCTAAATTTTCCAAAACTTTATGTTGTGACTTACATTGTAGAACTGTTGTTTCGAATTTTTCAGACACCAATATTCGTACGTCTGAACCATATATACATACATACAGTATATAATAAAAATTATATCGTTTATCGCCCTTTACTAGTCCAAGGAATTACCGCGAAATCGTAATACAGCGATATTTGGGTAAGTAGGTATAATGGCTCATTTTTTACGCGCTGTTTATATTTAATTTCTTCCGGATTAATTGTATGTAACTCTACCATTTTTTCACTATTCATTTGATACATTATCCTAGTTTGATATACTGAGTTGGTTTCATCTTATTCCGATTCCAAATTTGCAAAAAATAGTATTCTGTAGTACAACGTCCTAACGTCCTGATTTTCAATAAAATGGAATTCCTTTACAACGCCAGAACTCGGTATTGGTTCATCCTATTGGATTAATTTTTTCACCAAAAGTTGGGTAATTCGTTGGGGATCATTTCGTCTCGATTGAGTGTGCTTCTAAAATTTATAGTAAATGAGCCATGGCCTATCAATTACGAACGCACCAGTACGAACTGTTGTGAAATCTCAACCTACTAGTGTGACGTCAGCGTCGAGAGAGAGGGGATAGACTACGGCCCGGTGAGATAGAGTAGGCCCTGATTTGTCACCATCCACACAGAAGTAACTAATGTATGTACAAGGGCTAGTTATTGTCAAATAAAAACTCACTTACTTATACAATCATCAACACTGGGGAAGCGATATACCATTTTTTCAATCCTTATTTTATAATTTTCTATTCCTGCTGCTGTCATGTCCTCCTCGCATGCTATCAATGGGTCGTTACTATAGTAATATGGTGAAATGAAGTTCTCGTGGCCATATTCAGCCCATCTTGGAATTTTAGCCAGTTGTTCTAGAGCACCATCTATGGGGCTTTTATCGAAATACATCAGGAATATTTCTCCGTCTGACTTCAACATTTCAAGCATATTTTCGAATGCTTTCCTGGAAAGTTTATAGGTTGTAACGGCACAAGTTCACATCAATAAATAAATAATCTCAAAATGGCACACACGGTACATTGCCATGAACGTGACAACGAAAAAAAAAAAAAAGAAATAAAAATATATATAATTTTGACTTCGACATCAGTCAGAATTATAGGAAGAATATATTTCAAATTAATATTGAAAGGCAACAACCACGGTAAGGTACATAAGTTTTCATGTAACGTGTGCCCATATTTCAATTATATTCGATTTACAGCAAACGGCGTGGTTGTAATTTCTGAATCTGATATTTATCAGAAATCCCTGGATGAGGTTCAGCTGTTGTTAGTCGTACCTGTTATCATCTGCATCGTTCCATTTGGCTAAATAGAATCTGTGAGAGGAATTCTCTGCTGCAGAAGACAGCTATATATTTCAGATAGCTGTTGTTAGTCGTACCTGTTATCATCTGCATCGTTCCATTTGGCTAAATAGAATCTGTGAGAGTGATTCTCTGCTGCAGAAGACAGCTATATTGAACAGTTCGTTTGCCCAACGATTAATTATCCTTTTGAATCGATACTTACTTCAACTTTATGGTAAGATTGTTTCAAGTTTTAATCAACTGCTTTTGAGGGAGTGTGAAACTCAGGAATAGTGACCTTTTTCGTGTGCTTCACGACCAAAATGAAAAACAGACTATGCTACATATGCTACAGTTCATGATTATTAATTATTATTTCTGTTGATGATGATGATATTGTCATCATATAATCAACTGATTTGTTGATCATTCATTTGCGATATTTTATAGTTAATTCATTAATTGTTACCACCGAGGTTCAGTTCCATAATCATTCATTTATTCATACATCCATTCTAGTTCCATTTAGATATAGTTAAATTTGTGAGGTTTTTGGTTCTGGCAAAATACGATCTGAAATAGTTCAGTTTGTATGGTTATTGATAATATATCTGTGGATATCCGATATTTGAATCTTTCTACCCAAACCCCATAAATTTATATACAGGAAGAGACATTACATTGGCGCCCAACGTGGGGCAAAGGATGTTAACGAATCTATTAGACAAGCCACAACTTCTAGAATATTCGGTATATCGAAATTAAATTCAATATGGTTGTATGGTATTTGAAGGGGATAGTTTTTGCATATTTCTTACTTCCTGGTCGTTTCCGGTTTCACCGGATATGACTCCGGTTTTGAACTTTTGAATGGAACACCTTGTGTATTATAACATTTTTAAATTCCTGAGATAATTCTGGATCACTTTAAGACATTTTCAGAAGTTATTACGCCTAATTTTTTTTTAATTCACTTTTGATAATGCATCTAGGATGCCATGATCGGATGTAAACTCATCTAAGGATCTCAGCGTGATGTCAGAAAATTGAGATCAGAAAGTTTCAGTGACTAGTATGATAGATAGCAGGAAGACAAGTTGACAATATTCCATTTCAATGTCTAACTTATATATTTGAAATGGCAACCATTTTTTGACAAGCATCGATGACTTGATGCAAACCATATGAGTTGATGATAACATCGCATTCCATGTGAGTTAGCAGGATCAATAAAATCTATTTCAAGATCCCCAGCCACGCACAGATAGCATAACCAGAACAGGCATTAAATAGTAAAACAGTATAATATTCAGTTCTATCCATAGGTATTTATTTTTCTTTGTCGCTCACGAAGGTTAAGATGAAAAACAGCTTCAGCTGATACTTCGCCTATTCACCATAAACATAATTTTCTTTCCATTGTATTATTTTTATATTGGTGAATAAAGGCGATTATTATTATCATTACTACCTGAGTGCTTTATTTTCCACAGAAGACTCGAAAAATATAACAGCAAAATATTATCTATCATTTATTGTCAATAAATACACAACATTGAAAATATTAGCACCTGCGTAATCAGTAATATCTTCTACGTTGTGTATTTATCATCATTTCATATTCTAGCTCTTTTTAGTTTGGCTATCTATGAAAAGGAGTTTCTTTCGTTTTTTGAACTTACAATATTCATGTATTTAATTTTTTGGAAAAATATCATGAATGTAAGGGTGCGATGGATTTCCAATAGAACAGATATGATTCACTGTATAATATTACCAACCTTGGCGTATTAATCCAGTGCATTGCAATAAAAGACATGATATGGTTGAATCTCTCTATGAAATCGGAAGGTACTTTCTCACTTTCGATATCGAAATCCTTGAAATGAAATCTTGTTTGTTGTCCTAGCGTGCTCTTCGCTGCATTAACAAACGCTTTACTGATATCGGTAGCAACATATTCGGCGAAATTTTGTGGTATCCGTGGTAGAATGATTTCCTTCGTGGTATTTCCAGTTCCAATTCCGAACTCCATGATGGATTCGCTATCTTTCCATGTAAGCCATTTGCCATATTTGTCAATGACAAATTTGGCAGACACTCCTGCGAGGCCATTAGTTTCAGCATACAATTCTGGATTGTTCATTTCCTGATGCGATAATAATATGATATTTCTTTAGACACTTAAATCATCACTGAGAGACTGGATGCACTGGACGGTGTGAGCTCTGTAATCACCGCTATGAAATAAGAAAGCTCGAAACATAAACAATAATCAACAGCGTGAAAATTTTCTGAAGACGAGTCAGAATATGTATTATACAGGGTGTTTCTGATAGATTTGTACAAAATTTCAGCACATATTCCTCAGTCCGAAATTTGCTACGTTTCCGAGACACAGGGTGGTGAAGTTGAAGAATAAGAATCGACTACGAAATATCCCACAGTGTATGATGTGTTAAATAAATGTAAAAAGCTCAAAGTCATTTCCACACAGTGTTCATACTATGAACACCAATGGTAGATTTAGGGAGAAAAAACAACTACTTCCCTGGCTAATGCCACGCAGGATATTGAATTACATCATCCCGAAATCTATGCATCGACTCGTATAAACGAATACTGATACAAGTGATTCTTTCCTGAATGCCTATTGATTTCGATTAAGGCAGGCCGCTAGACAACCACACAGACCGGTTTCGAGCTCTTTGACTCTCATCAGTGCAGTGTAGTCTCCAGCCAGCAGTTCTAAGACCGCCGACTCAGCGAAGCCTATCCAAACAAAAATCAAGTTGGCATTATATCCACCCCGAGGCGTCTTTCATCGATAAAATGAAAGTAACGCCATCTGAGTAGAGCCGAGGAAAGAATCACTCCAAAACTGAAATTCCCATACGGGAGTGGCTGGCAGCCCGACTGGCATAATATCAACTACGAAATAGCCACAATGCTCACAGTGGAATGAAATGTTAAATAAATGTAAAAAGCTCAAAGTCATTTCCACACAGTGTTCATAAAATGAACAACAATGGTAGATTACGGGAGGAAAACAACTACTTCCCTGGCTAATGCTTTTTACATTTATTTAATAAGAATCGAGTTTCTCAGAATGCATAAACATTTTCGAATGAATTACTACAAAAATGGATATCCAAGGGTTTCTTGGTACGCATATTGAAGAATTTTTATCAATCGCAAATATTCCTTGAGTTCTGGTTCACTTATGTTCGATAAGAAAGGCAATCTGTTTGTTATTCTGAAAATCATGTAAAATAAAACGCATTCTGAACGCATTCTTGAAAGGATCAAGTGATTTCAAGAATTGAAACTATAAAAAAATATTCGGTACCAAGAACCGCATCGGACGACAATAGCCAAAATAACGGTTATGTCACGTGATACTGATTCATGTTCCATGAAAATGTATTAATACATCCTCAAAGCAGAGCAAAAGTTACAAAACTAGGTCGATTAGAGTATTTTTTTAAGTTCTGGTTCCCACGAAAAGGAATATCCTGTAATGATCAGAGAACATCGTGAGAACCAAGGGAGATAAGGTAGGAATTGGTGTTCTTTTTGAATTTCTGAAGGTTATATGTCTCGGGAAACACCTCCCTTGGCAATGTGTTCCAGAGCCTCGCTGTTCGTTGGATAAACGAGTCTCTGGAGAGACATGTTCTGCAGGTTTCCAGAGTGACTACGCAGGGGTGAGAAGCCTCTACTCGACGGTTTCATCTCGCGGGAACTGCCAAGGGAGGAACAATTTTTGATATTTCAGAAGAGCTTCGTCCATGAAAATATCTATAAAATAGAGCCAGATCGCCAACTTTTCAACGGTGTTCCAGAGAAGTTAGTGAGTTTGTGAGCAAGGCATCACCAACGAAACGAATTGCCTTTTTTTGGACAGAATCCAACAGTTTCAGGTTATGTTCGAGTTCTGCACTCCAAATATGGAAACATAATTCCAGGATCCGGATCTGTGCCTTAAAGATCATAAGCAGCTGACTGGAAAAGAAATAGCTCCTGGCCCGAAACAGAAAACCAAGTTTTTGGGATGCACTTTTAGCAATTGTGCTCACGTGATTTTCCCAAGAAAGGTTATTGCTGATAGCATCGAAATGGATGTCTTCAAAGGTATGGTTACTCCTCACAAGCTTATGTTGGGTACAGTATGAGATCGGCTTTCGCACAGTGAGATCGGCTTTTGCACAGTGAGATCGGTTTTTAATCCATTGAATCATTACTTAATCGATAATTGACTGTACCGCAGAATCTTTGAACTGCTCTCCTGAAAAAGTAGGAAATATAACATTTACGCCCTTCGGTGACAGGAACGTCGATTTGTCGATTCTTATTTTTCATCTCTACCACCCTGTATCTCATAAAATTGAGAAACTTCGGACTCAGGTAAGTTGCTTTAAATCAGCTCATTTTGACATCAGGAATATGTGCTAAGATTTGGTAAATACCTTTAAGGGTCACCCTGTGTATGTTTGTATGTAGAAACATTATCATAATAACGGATAAACAGTGAAGAATGATGAAATAATAAATATCCAGAGTCTTAACCGTATAATATGCTTTCTTTTTCCGATAGACCTTGATTTTCCTACACACTAGCGTCTAGAGACCGGGTGCAACAAATACTCAAATCGGTGGGGGAACGATATAACGCGAGTACAGATCACTCACCCGAGGGGAAATCATTGCAGCGAAACAACAACAACATTATTATTGGTACGGGACTTTTATCAGGAAAAAATGAGACTATCGCGTCTGCATAGGAATAGAGGGTACTGATTCGAAACAATTCAACCATCTAAATTATACAAAAAAAATAATCTAGCCGACAAAAGCAGTCCCCCGTATGCCCGCACAAGCTAGACGCAAAAATCACCGGGACGATTATTTATTGCACCCTTTCTCTAGACGCTACGCAACTATTATTGAACGTTAGGCACCATAGCAAAAGTCATTGATACTTCCGGTGCCTGTTATCTCGCCGAAAGCAAACGCTTAGGTTAGGCAATTAACCTCTAATCAATGATTCACAAATGTTTCAGGGAAAATCTGAAGCTCAATATTTCCCAGAAGATTATTTTTCACGGGAATATTGCCTCTCATTTCGTTTTACGTTTTTTATCATTCATACCATTTATTGTCCAATTTCAGAAATAGCTTGTAGAATTCCAGCTAAATATAGTTTGATACACCAGGTTGCGATAACTCCACCAAAAACAGGATAATCTATATAGGGTTCATTCATGTAGCAGCATTTCTTCTGTTGATAAGAGATGAACGTCTCTTTCCAAATCCTGATGTTCCTAAATTAAGGGCAGTTATCGGTCATTATTTTCCGTGCGAGTCCCCATCTACAACACTGGTTTTGAAGAAACGTGATGATGTCTTTGGTGCTGTGACCAAATGGAACCGTAACTCCTTTTCTCCACTTAATGAAAGTGTTAATTTGGTCAATGAGAAATCTGGTCTTATTTTTTGTCTTTGGATAGGGACTATGCTTCACTAATGGGCTTATATCACAAAAAAAAATTATTTTATAATTCGATAGAACTCACCCAAACTAGCTCACCACCGCAAACCGTTTCTTGCTGTGAGCTCCCTACGTTTTATAAAAAATTATTGAAATCCCCGATTTTTCGGACCTCTGAAAACGAGGCGATGATGTGACGTCAAAACCCTAATACTGAAACAAGACTATTTCAGACAGGGATGAATGATACATGATTTCTGACAGAGTGAATTAGCGCGAGATCACAGTTGAAAGAATTAATATATCAGTTGCCTCAGTTTCCGTCGGGCGTTTGGAATTTTTTTTTAACTATGGCGAGATGAGGTTTCTACGTCATAAGAGGGCCCGTTTTCAAAAGGTTCTATTATTTATGTCCAAAAATAAAACATTCCAGTTAATTTTTCGATCGAATTATGTCGTCAATCATTACTTATGTATAAAAGGACCATTCTAAACATGGTTTGAGTTAAAAGTTCTACTAAGGTGTACAAGCCCAATATCCGTCGGATGCCCCAATTGGTACATGAACTGTACTCTTCCAATATGTCCTAGAAATAACGTCCTATGGACGTCCCAGTCGGTACTTTCAATATGTTGTCCCTGCGAGGACGTTAACTTACACCTTGCCGACGAATGATTGCTCGTAGGCTATAAGTACTCCTCGTCAATGTCCTTCACGTAAGTCCATTGGACATCCTTGGGAAACTTTTTGGGGATCTTCTACGGATTATCAACCCAACTGGATGTCCTAATCAGTTATGCAAGATCTGATGGCCCTAGAGGGACCCAGAAAATTTGAAATTCAAGAATAATTCGTACCTCCCTGGGACATCCCATGGACATCCAATTGATATCCCTCAGCGTTGTCCTATGAATGTCCTAAGGATGTCCAATGTTGTGCTTGTTGAGGAATACTGTAGGACATGGGTATTCGATTGTTGTCGCAGGGACATCCCTCAAGGACGTCCCTAGTTGGTCCACAAGTGGGACATTTGTGCGTCCCACAGACGTCCAATGGACGACCAAATTCGAACGTCCTATGGACGTCCTGAGTGTCCCGACAGGACGTCCTAAGGATATCCATGGGACATAAGTGTGTTATTAGGGTTGCTTGCTAGGGACACAGTTAAAAGAATACAAATATTGTATTCTTTTAACTGTGCTAGGGAGTAGTGTGAGGTCTCAAATGCACTAGCGCATGCTATTCTTACAACCCGTCTTAGTTGAAGGATGTTGAAGGTGATTTTTTTTTATGTTCTGGTTCCCCCGAAAAGGGATATCCTGTAAGGTTCAGAGAAAATCGTGAGAACCAAAGGAAATGAGTTAGGAATTGGTGTTCTTCTTAAATTTCTGGAGGTTATATGCCTCGAGGAACACCTCCCTTGGCAATGTGTTCCTGCTCCTCGCCCTTCATTGGATGAACGAGTCTTTGGGAAGAGATATTCTGCAGGTCTCCAAAGTGACCACGAAGGGGTGCGAAGCCTCAACTCGACGGGTTAATCTCTCGGGGTCTGCCAAGGGAGGAACAATTGTTGATATTTCAGAAGAGCAACGTCCATGGAAATATCTATAGAATAGAGCCAGATCGCCAACTTTTCTACAGTGCTCCAGAGAAGTGAGTGAGATGGTGAGCGGGGCATCACCCACGAGACGAATTGCCCTTTTTTGGACAGAATCCAACAGTTTCATGGTATGTTTGGGTGCTGCACTCCAAATATGGGAACAGTATTCCAGGACAGGTCGGATCTGTGCCTTATAGATCATAAGCAGCTGATGACTGAAAGTGAAATAGCTCCTGGCCCGAAACAGAAAACCAAGTTTTTGGGATGCACTTAGCAATTGATCTCACGTGATTTTCCCAAGAAAGGTTATTGCTGATAGTAATACCAAGCATCGAAATGGATGTCTTCAAAGGTATGGTTTTCCTTGACAAGCTTATGGTGGGCACAGTGAGATCGGAGAACTGTTGACATAGCAAATAATTGAATGACTGTTCGAGCTATGACGTCGTTATAATTATTTTCAAATGACAATACATTTTGATAATTCCTACAAAAAGCAAGCATTTTCCTGTGTCATGTAACATGACTGTATTTTAATGCAATCATAATCAAAACCTTATAATTTATTTATGATGACGTCATCAGAAATATGAGTAAACCAACGAATACGCATCTGAAGAAGACAATCGACGTATCTGACCTTTTTTTTTTCTATGAGACATTAGTGCAGAATTTCGTATGGAAACCCTAAGTAATGGAGTAACTGAATTCCACTATGATCCAGAAATTAGTCTATCTTTCGATTCATGGTGAATAAAAACATTACGAGAATTAACCAACAGAGGCTGTTCAATAACCGCAACCAAAGTGAGACTTTTGCTGAGGAAATTGGACACACAGATTCATCAACAATATATCAATCTGATTTTGCACAAAGAACCCAAAGAAATCGATTTCAAAGATACAGTTTCAAAATTTTCAATTTCATAACAGTGCATGAAATTCGCCAAAAGCAGTACAGAATACTTCGTTGCATATACAGGAAGAGTCAACAAATTCTGCGAAGACTTCGACATCAGAAAACGTACAGCTGATCAATTTCAATGTCTTATTTTTGTATGTGGTCTACAATCTGTTGGCAATGCTGATGTGAGAACAAAGTTATCTTCAAGAATAGATGGCAAAGATTCAGAATCTCTTCATCCTCAAAATCAAACTTCAGAGTGTCAGCGTATTTTAAACATGAAACAAGATACTGCGATGATAGAACATTTCAGCACACCAATGCAACTTTTCTAAAGAAGAAATACTAATAATAGTTAGGATAATAATAATGTCTTTATTCATTATTTACATAGTTGCATACTGATAATGGTACATGATGAAATATTTATATAAGTAGAAATAAATGAACAAAAAATTATCAACGATGAAAGGGCGGAGTTCAGCTACAGGGCTGCTTTCGAAACCTACCGGAAGAATATGAACATATCACACACATAGGTACTACTTTAATAATATAAGTTGACCGGGATACAAAACTGAATATTTTTTCTGCAATCGACTCAAAAGTCGTAAATTTTTGTTACCAAATTAGCTGTTGAAGTTGAAGTTTACCTCCTAGGAAATAAAAACGTGTTGGATGACATCTGATATGATAGCTGCTTTGACACTGACATGCTCAAGTGAGTCAAAATAGTAGTAACTTCACTTATAATTCATTAAGTAGATAAGTATCAATCATTTCGATTACAAAAAAATTGCATGTTTCATTCAGATCACAAGGTACTCTGTTCGACTCGCAAAATTTGCAGCTTCGCGGTCGCTCCGCCTCGCAAACGCAAATATCGCTTGTCAAACAAAATGTCACATTTGATCCTAATGTACTATTTTCTTCAAACGACATAGAAAGTGGTTTTTCTATGACACTTAACGGGAAACAAAACGGTGTACTTTTTCTGCTTAGGCAGAAAAAGTTTGTTGCTATGCAACGTTGGGTGAACACGAAATAATAAATTTGTACGAAATTGAAAAAGCCGAATACTCAAAGTGGAATGGAATGGTCACAAAGAGGAAGAAACTTAGTCATCACCACATTGTCAAATTCAATCAACGTTCTATCTCTTACCATTTCGGAAATGGCAGTTCGGTCTCTAGTAAATCGGTGGAATCCGTATAATGTATTATTGTTTCTACATTCTACGTTAATTTTTTGGCATAAACAATCATGAGATTATAATTCACTCCAATAGAGATGTATCCAGGTTTGACACTTTTTTGGAAGAATCCTCCTGTTCTCAATGCGTGCTTCATATAGTCACGTTTGTAGTCTTCTTGTTCTTCTTCAGGTATAAGGTGCAGAATAGGATTCACGGAGCACAAGTGATCTGGAAAGTTCAGGAAAGTCAATTTTACTCGGGTTTCCAACTCAGTGGCGGATTGATTCAACTGCGTATGCTTTATGAGCTCAAGCAATTGGAAGGTGATCTCATCCAGAGTCCCGTGATTGTTCAGCTATACAAAATATTGTGTTATCCACTCTTTGAACAGAAACTGATAGCTGCTGATAGTGAACATCAGAAACAAGACAGCAAAGTAGCCTATCAGAGCACTCATAGATGAATCAAGCGGCAACGTTGCTTGCTATTCATTTCGTGTTTATTCAGTGGTTCGCACAAGACCAACGAAACGAGACCATGGAATCTCGCCGATGAAATTATTATTATCATATCAAGTCTCGTCTCGCAACTTCCAATCTCGTCTTGATTTGTTTCTCGTACGAGAGTCTCATGATCTCGTCATGCCTTTGTGAGAACCTTTATTTTTGCGGCACACACTCCATATCAAATGAACTTCTGGGACCTGTTCGGAAATCTCGGGCGCCAGATTTTAGATGATTGTGTCACGAGTAGAACATACGGTATATTAGTAATTCCGAACCATGAGGGTTTCATAAACATAAAGTTAATCAAATCATCCGTTGACATTTATCTATGAAAACTGATCAAGGAACTCTCATGAGAAACGTGCAAATCTAATAAAATAATGTATATAAATATTGGATGTGAGGGTTCCGAAGTTAGTCTGGTCTGGGGCTACTCCTGGCTTGACAAGAGCTCGTCGAAATGGTCATTATAATGTAAGTTGTTATTTGGTCTGTATATCCATTTTGATTCTTTTATATTCATCACTCCACCCCTAATAATTCTTGTTATAATAAATATTATTATCTTTGAATATAGAGGCACGTATAAGTTATATTGGTTGTAGATGTGCGTCCAGTCCATAGGATAGATAAATTTCTATTGAAATGGCTTAGTAGATAAAAACTCTTCGATTCGCTGAGGTGTCAAGTTTTCGAGTTCTCAGGTTTGTATATTCATATTCTGATTGCATATAACTTTGCTCACATCTCAGTCACATTAATATTATGCTTCACGTTTATTGTCATGCTCAACATATAATGAATTTCCCACAAAGATGAGAGCTTCATTTTTACCTAGAGAGAGTACCTACCTAAAAAAATCTCTTCGATTTTACTTTCGTCTACTTTTTACATACATTTCCAATGAAGAATTCTGATACAAACAAAATTTGTTTGAATAGTTCTGATTGCACCAAAATCCGACAATGGCAGTTCCCACATCCTACAATAATACAATTGACAGGCCGGACAGGACTCGAATGACTGAAGGTGTGTTTTAAAAACTCTGTTGCCATGGTGATGTGTTTGATAAAACTTTACAAATAGTGAAACATAAATTAGAAGACGATGAAAGTCTCACTGAAAGAACTAATTTAAGTATCGATGGAATAATGGAATTTTTGGAATTGTGTCTAAAAACAACATATTTTCAATTGGGTGATGAGTTTTATCAACAAAACTTTGGAATGGCCATGGGATCGCCATTATCTCCAATTTTGAGCAATATATTTATGGAGAATTTTGAAGACAACATCATCAAAAATTACCAAAAACAACCTAAAACATGGTGGCGATACGTAGATGATATTTTCATAATTTGGCCTCACAATGTTATGGAGCTAGATAATTTTCTGGATTATGTGAACAATGCCGAAGCTACAATAAAGTTCACTTTGGAAATTGAATCTAATAATCAATTACCGTTTCTAGATGTTCTTATTGAAAAATCAAATAACAACTTTGTAACGAGTGTTTATCGTAAAAAGACCCATACTAACAGATACTTGAACTTTCAATCAAATCATCAGAAAAGTATTAAGAAAGGAATAATCAAATCACTCCATGATAGAGCCAAATCAATATCATCTGACCAACAAATTTTCAATAACGAAGTCCACCACATTAAAAATGTTCTCCAACTCAATTCTTATCCAAAGAATTTTATCGATAGGACGATTCATCGAATTGAAAACAAACAGGGTCAACCACAACAAAATCAACCATCAATAACGACAAATATAATACCATACATTCCCGGCATATCTGAAAAAATAAAACGTGTTGGTGATAAATTTCAAGTGAAAACTGTGTTCAAAACTGAAAATACAATGAGATCAATTCTAACTCAAACAAAGCCGAAAAATGAAGAACAATCATCAAAAAATTGTATTTACAGTATACCTTGTGTTTGTGGAAAGTTTTATACAGGTGAAACCAAGAGACCTCTTTCAGTAAGGACAAAGGAACATAAGTACAATATAAAGAAAAGAAACATCGATAAATCGAAACTAGCTGAACATATCCTTACTGAAGACGGACAACATATGGCAGAGTGGAATAATATTAAAATTATTGGAAAAGAAGATAACAACCAGAAGAGAAAAATCAAGGAATCTGCTTGCATTCTTCTGAACGGAGACAATAACATTGCTTCTTGTTCAGTTGATATAGACAGAACATGGTATTCACTACTAAAATCTGAACATGAAAATGGTAAATTCAAGATCAATTAATGAAAACATCCTGTAACTCATTTGATTGCCAACGTCACCAATTGTCATTGAAAACTGAAAAGCTTCAAGACATTATACGACTTCGCTATTGAAATAATCTCTTCTTATGTTGAAAACGGGAGCAGAACCGGTCCCGAAACGTCCAAAGATAAGTGAAAATTTGATATTTTTCCTATATACCTTTATTTCCCTTCTCCAAAAATTTTTTCAATACAAATTGTCACTGACAAGCTAGTGAATTTTTCTTTTAGGCTCTCTGATAGGAAAATTCTTTAAACGCAGTGACATTTTGGGGCAAATCATCTGATTTGTCCTTACTACACGTATATTGAAATAATATTCATATTTTTATTTTATAGAAACGAGGAGAGAAAATCCCAAAAAATTTGGAATAATGAATATACCACCTCCTCGATTAACCTACAGACCGGATTAATCGATTATCAAGCGTGGTACATAACCGTACGCTAAATGCCATTTTAGTTATGTGACTAGAAAAAGTTGTTTCACTTCACCTACTCCTACGAACTGGGCTTGTGAGGAGGCCTTGAAAGCAACAATGACAAGACACAGGAAGTGTATACAGTGAACCAGGGGCCAATGCGTTTGAATCGACCTGGAATGAATTGGACAAGAGAATGTATGCTTCAATAAGGAATACGCATGATTTTTTGTTTAATCGAAATTATATTCTTTCTTCCTCATAATAACATTGGATATCATTCATTAATCTCAAATTTGCTTGTGACTCTGAAAAATTTCATTTAAATGAGGCTGAATATGAAGTCACAGGAAAACGGGTTAGTGGCCATCACTAATATTATGACGTCATAGTATTAGGCCGCCCAGCCATAGACTAGCGCGACAGAATAACAAGATTCAGATTGAAAAAAAAAAAGGAGAAGAAGAGGTACGAGAAGAAAACTTAAACGCCAGAAATTTGAAATTTGAGAATGGAAAATGATAATGTTTATACCAAATAAAAAAACAAAAGTATCACCAGGAAAAATATTCCTTTCATTGCCATTGGGATCGAGTGATAAAAATGAAGAGAAAAGAAAATTATGGTTGCAAGCCATCAATAGAAATGATTGTACCGAGAAAACCAGAGGATTTCTTTGTGAAGACCATTTCGAAGTGAGTAGGTATACGTTCAAGTATGTCCTAGTGAAACCCATTATGTATCAATGATTATTTTCGTTTTCAGCTTGAAGAAGATATGGAAAACTATATGAGATATAAATTGATAGGTGGTAATATATATTTGAAACAACATGCAAAAAGAAGTCCTGTTTGATCATTCTTATTGTAGATATTTGCTTATTAATCAGTTATTATTATTCAGAATATTGAGATCATATAATTGAGATAGTTTATAGAAACTACAAGCTCAGATAATCATAACCTCACTTTCTCTTCTTATATTATTTTCAATCTTTCGGACATGAATGTTTGACATGACAAATAAAAACAGCCACATCCAGTCGGAAATCATCGCTGCAGTTCGGCTGTTGGTCGGAAATTTGCAAATATTATGATTTTCAATCAGAAATTATTGAATATTCGGTGCTTAATAATGTTTTTCGGATGTATAATTCGACATCTATACATATGAGTAATGGAACAAAAATATATTCCAGTGTGAAATTTTCACACGCGTATACCCTATTACAAACACTTGGCGAAGCCTTTGAATGTTGATTGCTATGAATAGATATCTGAAATTGTCATTCTTTTCCATTTAAGTGGCTATTTCAGCTCTCACCCTAATATTTTCTGGAATTTCAAACTGTTCATTCCACCAATAGCTATAAAACCTACCATTATTTACTCGTTTTCAAGGCGTAAATTGTGTTTTCCCACATAGTTCACGCCATTTCATGAACTACTGGTAGATGAAGACATTGCCACTTCTGTTATAATCAATCCTAATTCAATGCTATGATGCGAGATTCACATGAATGGCACTCGAATCTAGTAGGTATTTATTAATAACGAATTGTCATATGCTGATATGGTCAAGGCTACTAGATTTCAATTAGGATTGAAAAGAAGTTCTTCCATAGTGACCATAGGTTCATATTTCAGTTTCACAAAACTATGATGATTGAAATATTCAATATACCCCTTGTGTTGAATAGTGGACTGTATGAAATGACTTGATAGTATAATTATTGCTCGACTAAGTTGCATTTGTTCGTTATACGAGGCGTTGTTGAGAGAAGAGTTTAATATTGAAATTCATCGAGCTGTGATTTTCTTACCAAGTTATGGTCACTGAAGTTCGACGGTATAGTCCGGGAACTGCTACAAGATGCACTGATACACGATGCCGTTATGCAAACGACCGGTGCACTTACACGAGAGAGTACGTACTATGCGTCGCGGCTCATGAGCGAAAGAGAGAGAGTGAGAGTACCTTTTATTAACGAGATGTGTACCGTATGGC